TATTAGGATGGAGCTGGCCCAGTCATGTGCCCTCTGGGCTGTGTTTACAGACAACAGCTTCGCCACACAGCCGCAGCCAAGCAGAGCCTGACAGCCAATCAACAAAATTGCTTCTGGAATAAAACACGGCAGTCTCGCACAGATGCTTCTGAGTGTGTTAAAGGCAGAGAATGAGAAATATTTCATGTTCTGTAGATGTATTTTCTACCAAAAAACACAAAAAAGGAAAAAGAGCAAGCAAACATTCAGAAGTGGTCCTCCGCTGAAAACCTTTTACTTGACAGGGTTCGACCCTCTTTACAGACCAGCAGAGGCTGACTGGTCTTGGCAGGAAAGCAGCTCAAACACTGATGTCTCTTATTGTTCCCACCCATCACCCAGCCAGCATGCTCTCACCTGCTGAACCCACAGCCATCGCTCATGCTGTTCTGTCAGTGAAGGCTGAGGCTTTGAAAGCTGCTCTGTATATATGTGTGTGTGCATGTTTGGTTCAGAGGTGGGGGTGGAAGACGTCCGCTTGGCGTTGTCGTTGCATCACAGGGAGGGGAATAGTTCTCCATGCACAACGAGAGGTTAACAAGTCTGCGGAGCATAAAGTGAAAATCCGCTCGTAATGACTTCGCTCCTTTTGTCATAATGAGCACCTGCCTAAATGAGTTTCCACTGGTTCATTTCCACTTCTAAGTGCACAGTGTACAATAGTTAATGACAGACATAAGCTGGTGCATCAAGAGGAGAGGAATCTGCATGCGAAGCTCAGTCTTGAATGTTTTTTTTTGCAAATGTTTTCTGCATTTTCAAACCTGTTGTTTCCTCTCCTGCAGAAGAAGCTGACAAAAGAATGTGTATTCAGGGAGCAGTTTGAGGAGAACTGGTACAACACCTATGCTTCAACTCGGTACAGGCACACGGACACGGGGCGCTTCTACTATGTGGCTTTAAACAAAGATGGTTCGCCCAGGGAGGGCGGCAGGACTAAAAAACACCAGAAGCTCACCCACTTCTTACCCAGACCGGTGGAGATTGAAAAGATCCCTCAGGAATTCAGGGATTTATTCCAGTACAGGTGACCAGTGCTTACACTGGGAGAGCTGGTTATTTCTGAAGGAACAGAGATAAAAGACAAAAATGAGGGGGCGGGGGAGGGATATTGCGGATATTTTGGACCTGGTACAGAACTGTTTACCCTCACCCCCCACCTGAGGTTACCACGTTTGCATCATCTGCGGCGGACTTCAGAGAGGAGATAAAACTCTCTTATAAAACCACTGTTATCATGGACAAAGGAGGCCCTCATGACTGCCCAGCTGTGGCTGAATCAGGAAAATCAAATCAGGTGCCATGTTTTCTCTATAAATGCATAACAGAGGTTCATGTGTAGATACCGAAGAGGCAAAATGGGAGTGGTCGCTCTTGATGGTTTTGGCCGGGACAAGGAACAGTCAATGAGAAGTGACTTTTAGGAGCTAAGGACATAAATCCCTGCATGATGTCACAGTGTGCACACTGTTATGGCAACATTAAATGTAAAGGAGAGGGAAGGAAAGCACATTCCACATATACAGCAGAGACGTGCAAACTTTGTGCTACATGTTTGTTAAGCGGTAGTTTGGGATATGTGACGAGATTGTCTTTGAGTTGGCTACGAGCAAGTTTTGTTTCAAATAAAAGACAAAGGATGGGAATAATGTCTCCGACTCTGGGATCAATCAAACTGCACTTACTGCACATCCCAAGTCTCAGCGTCACGCTCGGTTGGTCTGAGTTTAAACATCAGATTAAATTCAAACAAACACAAAAAAGCTATGGGAATTTAATATGCAAAAAACAAAAGCAGTTAAGCTCGGGCTAAAAACACTTCATCCGACTGGGGTTGTGAAGACTAAAGAAATGGGTGTTCTTTTTAAGGATGATGACTTGTAATGTTCAGAGCATCGGGGAACATTATTAAAAATGCAAGCAGCTGAGGTGTACATATGGGTGTTCCTATTTATGAGATGTACAATATATTTATTTTCTACATATAAAGTATAAATGTAAATCTATATATTTATTTATTGCAAAGACTTTATTTTGTAATGAACTTGAAGTTATCTGGACTGCAGATTCTACTGAATTGACACCAAAAAAGGCAAACAAAAAATGAAGAACTGCAATGAAACGTGACAATAAAATTGTCCTGCTATCGCGACGTCATTGTGAGAGACCATTTTTGCTTGCATTAAAGTCTGTACCAATTAAAACCAGATATGTGAATCCTGCATGTCTTTCCCGTTATTTCAGCCTATTGTGGCAAAATATTTCACTTTTAGATGCTTCTATCACTTTAACATTTTCACTGACATTAATGCCAAGAGAGAAGGAATACAATGTTAAAAAAAAATGTCAGATTCTTTCCCATACCAATTTGCCCTCGTAAACCCCTTACCAAGTGAAGGGTTACATTATCAAGTAATGTGCACAGGCTCTGTCTCCATGAGGTCTTAGCCAGCCTACATCCACCATACAAAATCAGATTCCTTATGCAACCGGATCCATAATTGGCTTTACACATCAGCGTGGATTAAGAGCAGTGATTGGTCGTTCACTGCAGGGGCCTCACGGTCTGGCCCTACAGCGGGTCTTTTCAACGGACAGAAACAGCTGCATGCGGTGCGCAGAGAACCAGCAGGGATGTGCTGCAGACCTGGAGTGGTGGTTCTGAAGTTAAGTGAGGATGGGATCAACATTTCAACATCTGCAATAGTTGTAATGTTTCTCCACTGGCAGATATCTGTAAGCTGGGAGAGCAAGCTCCCCTGGGGGGGAGGGAATGGAAAAGTCAAAGACATGCAGGGGGAAAACCCTGGCAGGCTGAGAAATGAAAACAATACCAGCAGAGGGGAAAAATAGATGAAAGATTGAAGGGAGAAGAGAGTGGGACAAAAGGCACTTTGCTGTGGGTGTGAAATACAGGGACGCTGCATCAGGATGAATCAGCGTCCCAGCTGTTAAAGGAATAGCCGTAAATTTTGGGAAATGATTTGCTCTCTTGCCAAGAATAAGTTAAGAAAACGAATACCGCTCTCATATCTGTCATAAATAGGAAGCTGAAGCCAGGAGGCAGTTCATTTAGTTTAGCATAAAGCCTGAAAGTTTGCCTCGTAGTAAGTTGACGTCATACACCATATTCAACCCAATAGCCCCACCATCACCTTTAGGTTATCATAGCAAAAACACTATAAAGTAAGTAGCTGCTGACTGTAGCTTCAGATTTACACTACTGTGCAAAAGTCTTGAGCCACACCTCAGTTCAAGGAGCCAGACCACTTTGTATTTTTCTCTGGTCTTGAGTAATAGTTCTCCAGGTTTTCTGAAGGTCTTTTAAAGTTCTTCTTTGGCGTATTATTGGCTTCCCCCCCCCCCCCCATTTGAAGCCGTTCTTAAGATTGACTGAAAACCAGTGGCAGCTGATTTTTATGGAAAGATGAATTCAAATTTGAAATGGTTAGTTCAAATTGTTGTCAATATGTATGAAAGAACAACCACGAGTGTCTCCACAGTGGAGGCTTTGTCATGGTTTGGGGCTGCATTGTCAAGCAGACCCGGATTACAAAACAGTGAAACACTATCAGTCATGGATTGGCCTCCCCAGAGCCCGGACCTCAACATTATTGAAGTAGTTTGGTCTCACTTTGCAGAGAAGGGAACAAAAGGCAGCCAGCAGTAAAAGAGGAGCTTTGAATGTCCTTCAAGCAGCCTGGAGAACTATTCCTGAAAATGACTTAAAGAATATACAAGAAAACTGCCTGAGAGTGGTCAGGCTGTGTTAATGAATAAAGGTGTTTATAACAAACACACCTTGTTAAATAAACCTTGTTAGAACTGTACAAACTGCTTTGCCTCATTTTTCTTTATCTCTTTTACACATTTCCAAACCAAATATAAAGAAATGGCAGGTGGCTCGGGACTTTTTGCACAGTACTCCAACAAAGACAAATGTAAGTGGTAACAATTCTGTAACACTTGGCAAGAAAGCAAATATGCACGGTTCACAAAAATGCAATCAAAACCATTTCCTGCCTATTAGTTGTGCATTTGTTTCCTGTGTATTATTCCCCATCAGTCTCCACCCAAACTCTCCTGTCTAATAAGGCATAACATGCAACGATCATCAAGGTGGAGCTAATCAGAGAGAACAAATGTGCAACCAGCATTCCTCTTTGTAAACTCAGCGAGGTGAATCAGTGGCAAGTACTTCAATCCCTTTAATAAAAAATAAAAAATAAAAAAAGACTCCAACACATGCACCGGTTATACTTTTGGTCACTTTATTAAATGTTATATTAAATACTTATCAAGATAATAGCAGATCAGATTCATGGCAAATCATGTTGGTGTATTCGCTAACGTAAGAACATTCTTAGACAAGGGCAAAAAACGTTTTCTACATTTATGAAATACACCTTGTGCAAACACAGGAGTCAATCGGAGACGGCAAGTCGTCTCTCCGTGAGAAACGTTCATATTCCTCATGTTCAACAGCTACACCAGTTTAAGCATTTAGAAGCATGAATGTGCCAAAGTAGAATACAAGTAGTCTGGGGGCCTGCCTGGTGAGACTACAGTGTCCAGGAGAACATTTCTCACAAAGCAGAGGACACAAATCAGCCAGGTATAATAAGATTTCCAGCCTTTACTCTGTCAATCCCATCTGGAAACGCATATTTCAAACGCTGAAAGATGCTGAAAGGTAAAAGTTCTGGGCCCTCTGTGACACCTGGCTGAACCGCCTCCGCTTTGCGAGACCCGGCCTCTCACCCAGGCTCGGGGATCAACACAAGTGGAACGTAATGAACGAGACGCACGGTGCTATGCTAGACGACACGTGACAATGAGGGTGACGTTACAAAAGGGTCATAGGAACTGGCAGGCAGTTTCTGAACAACACAAGCATTCCGTTACCATGTTCAGCGACAACTAATGTAAACACTTAAAAGCATAATAGAAAAGATTCTCAACAAACCTCAAATCTTTACAGAGCTTTTTTTGTTTTGTTTTTTTAGCAAATCAATAAGGCCATATTTTTTTCCCCCAGTACCCCCCCCCTCCCCCCTTTTATCAGTTTCTCCCATCTTCCAAAAAGAAAGAAAGAAATAAAAAGCAGGACTTGCAGCACCAACAGCTGTCTGCTTTGCTAGATAAAGGTGGAGGAATCTACTGGAGTTCATCATCGTGTAGCGCTTTGCATCAGAGTCCTGTCACCAACAATACTGGTCCCACTCAGGTGTAGATAGTTAGGCATTTAAAACCGTATAAAAAAACTGAGCTGGAAATAATAAGGAAACCCTTTTTTTAAAAAGGGCAAATCAATACAATGCCTTAAAGCATTGGGGGTAAAACTTTAAATACATGAAAAATGAAGATATAGAACTTGAATAACATTAAGGCGGTATATACATTTTTTTCCCCCTCTCCTAACAGACATTTCACACAGTCATTTATACATTACATCCTCTCAGTGAGTTACAGAATAAAGCACTGAGAGTCTCTCTCACTTGAGGCTCCAGTGGACAGCAGTCCAGTCTCAGTCTCTCACCGACCCTCTGGCTCGTTGCATCTGTGTGTTTTGAGCTTCTTCTTTTTTCTTTTTGGGGGGGGGGGGACCTACAGGCCCTTGGAGGGGCCAGGATTTTTGCCCATACCCTGATGGCCGCCGAGGCCGTGGAGCTGCTGGTAAAGAGTGAGCAGGTCCATCTGACTGAGCCCGCCGGCTCCCATCATGCCATTCTGCAGGGCCAGCTGGTTTAGGTAGCTGGCCTGATTGGCCATGGCCAGCTGCTGCTCCTGCACCTTCCTGTTGGTAATCAGCTTCTGCACGTACATCATCAACTGAAACACACAGACATTGAAAATTAACACAATTCAAAGGTAAAAAGTACACTTTGCCCTGTCACGGTTTAACACAATGACAACAATTATAGGAAGAAGTGAGGGTGGCAGTCCCTTGTCCTTGTTCAAACCCAGCTCAACAGCTGACATCAGAGGTCACATATAGTGGTGTCTCTGAGCTGTAGTCAAGGCTGAATCAGAGCTTTTAAGAGGTCAAACCGCCTCATGCTTTCACAGACAGACAGTAAACAGAGATACTACTCCCACGCTAACCTTTTTTCTTGGCTGGTGCAGGTAAACCAGTATAGCCCTCTCAGCACAAAATGTTGTGATGCACAGTGATATTATTGCCAGTTTTTGGCCTTTTGACTGTTTGGTCATAATGGATTAATTTACAAATTACCCTGTTTAACCACCATAGATAAACTAATGAAATTAAACTACTGTGATGATTTGTTGGCATCATTCAGTTGTCTGTTCTGTCTCGTATACAGAGTGGCTCTTACCGACTGCTGCCTGTTGAGGACATCCCTGTAGATCGCTTCCCTGCGTTTAAGCTCTAGCTCCACGGTGGCCTGTCGCCCCAGAGCGGCAGCCTGGACCTGGTTCTCCGTAAGCGCTGGGTTCTCTTTCCACTGTGGTGAGAGGCAACAGCCATTAAAACATACAGTGATCCCTACAGATCTGTAACTGGAAAGTGATTTCAAAGACCTCACCACTCTGCTGATTATATCTTCCAGCGACTCCCGTGATAAAGACTTTAAAGCATTTGTAGCCTCGATGACTTTCTGTCGGCCCTGGTTTATGAGATCCT